ATAGCGCAGCGGAACGCTATTACAATTACGATATTAAAATGCACATTTAACGATAAATAATTATTTGATGAATTACTCTTCACAAATATAGGTTTGATAATTAAATTATTTTATATAATTAAAAAAAATAAAGTAAAATATAATTGATATGGAAGACAGATAAGACAGGAGAAACAAATAAATCTCCGCATAATATAAAACTAATATGACTTATTTCAAATAATGTTTTTTATTCACCTAGAATAGTAGAGATCTTATCGCTATATAAAGCAAGATTGTGCGTTTCGTTATCGGAGGGAGCACCCGCCTTTTTATATGAATTATCCATTACGTTTGCTTCTAAAATAATATCAAATTTCGATAATGTTTCATCATCTTCGAATGCTTCCCATTCTAATGTTCGAGAGGATCTTACTGGAACATCAAATTCGGAATTTCTATCGCACCCGTCTTTTTATATGAATTATCCATTACGTTTGCTTCTAAAATAATATCAAATTTCGATAATGTTTCATCATCTTCGAATGCTTCCCATTCTAATGTTCGAGAGGATCTTACTGGAACATCAAATTCGGAATTTCTATCTTCGTTTTCAACATTTTCCTACAAATTTAACATAAAATTATTTAAAATATATATTCATATAATGAGTATATACGTGGAAAAATTGGAACATACGTTTTCTTTTCTTATATCTATCGCGTATTCAGTTTTATAATAAATAATTCATAACAATAATATAACTGTAAATTTTAAGATGACTCACATTACAATTTTTTTTACATTTTGCAATTAACACCACACAGAAAAATTCATACCTGCATATACGTTTCTCCGGACGTAACATCACTGTTTGCATGTACGATTGATTTCTCACCAATGAATTCGTTCACGCTATTCTCTACACTGCTTACGTATTCATGAATTAAGATTTTATTAGTCTTCAATTTCTTAGAAAAGCCATAATACTGAGCAAGAAGACTTTTTGATATATCGGATATATCAGACATATTAAACGACAAGTTTTAAACAGATGCTCTTGAAAAAATACGAATATTGGAATAATATTCGCAACAGTGATTCGGCTGTTTATTCGTTGCTTAGGTGATTCTCACTTGTTTTATGTTCCTTCGTTCGATCGATAAAAATCATGAGATCTTTTTAGTTTTTGTTGTAAATATAATTATTTACCACGTATGTGGACGCAATAAAAAAAAATTTTATTTTTATGAATATAAAATTTATTGTATTCTAAAGTTTTTATTAATATATTATACTTAAATTTACTATTAATTAAAATTTTTCAATTATAATATTTCAATAATTTAATTATACTTGTTTTTAAGTTTAATCTTAATAAAATTAAAACTCTGAAAAAATTTTAATGTAAAAATTCTCTACCCAAAATAATATTTATAAAGAAACAATTGAATTCACAAAGATTATACATCCGGGTTTTTTTTTTTAAATTTCAAGACTTAATTCAAAATTATAATTAAAATTTTGGAATTGTGGCAATTAAAAATTCGAAAGATAAATAAATCTATCTTTTAAATTCCTGAAGAGTATTTTACTCTACATTCAACTTTGACAACTTTTTCATGCATAAGATCAGGCATTGGACTGTAGAAAGACTAAAATGCACAGCGCGGCGATCGCGAGTGTCACATTGTTTTGCTCGAAGATGATGTTGTCAATTAGGATGATATATGGATTGGGATATCCATCCGAATGGGTGAGGAATCTCAAAGTAAGTAAACAATAGATAAATATATATACAGGATGATTCATGGAACTGGGTCGGGTTTTAGCACTTGTTCTGTTGAAGATTAAAAAAATGGTAGAGGCAAAAGTTAAGTAGTATAACATGAAAAATTTTTCTATCGACTTATTTTTTTCTGAAGTGCAACGGTGCACCAGAAAAGTCCAATTGCAATTTTAAAATTGAATTATATATTTCTTTTTACATAAATAGACTTTTTCGAATAATCTATGTATAAAAGTATTAGGATAAGGTGCTCAAAAAATAAATACTTCACGAGTTATTTGAAATTTTTGAGTGAGGTATTTGATGTCCAGTTCCGTAAACCACCCTGTATAAAATAGTCGAAAGTTTGGAATTTCAAATCGTGAACTTAATGTGGCAATTAAAAATTTAAACAGTCTTGAATTTAGTCTTAAATTCTAAAAAAACTTGGATATAATCTTTAGGTAAATTCAACTGTTCGTTTATAAATATTATTCTGAGTAATAAAAAATTTATTTCTTAAGAAATTAAATACATTTAAATACATTTTAGTTTTTCTAGAGTCTGAAATACCCCACTTTTCAGAGTCCAGTGCTTGATTTTCTTGCATTAAAAAGTTGTCAAAGTTGAATGTAGAGTGAAATACTCTTCAGGATTTCTTGCCAATATCATCCTCAATACTTTCCTTAGAGTACTTGTCAGAGTCCTTTTCAAACATACTACTTATAAAATCGTCTTCATAATTTTTCGCAAAGCGCTTTCTTCTAGATTCTTTTCAAAATCTTATTAAAAAAGTTTTCCTTAGGTGGTCTTCAAGAGCTTTTTGGAATTTTCTTTAAGATCTTCTTAAAATTTGATTCTAGAATTCTTTTCAGGATTCTTTGAACTCTACCGTGATCTACTTCTATCCTTCAAGGTAGATCATCAGGTGGTAGCGGACCTAAATCTTGATCGCCAGATCCCATTGGTCCGTCCATATCAGCATCCGAACCCATAGGAAGCCCGACCACTTCCGATTGAGCGACTGCTCCTTCAGCAGCCTGAAGAAGCATAGGATTTCCAGCAGCATCCAGAACTGGATCAGCAGTGGCTTCCGCGAGATTTGTCACTGACTTGGATTTTACGCATTGAAAATCAACATGGCGACTTTTAGCCTCTTCCTTCTCCCAGGACATGTGAATAAAAGGTCGCTGAACATAGTTGTAGATGACTTCGGCGCGACCACCAGCACGTTTCTTCACTTTCTCTTTGTAAGTCGGATAACCTTCAATACCTAGACGAATTTTTTTCAGGCCGCGTTCTTTCATTACTTGTTTGGCCACATCCCGATTCTCGATGTACTTGAAAAAACGATACATCGCCGTACTGTTGACAGCTGAAAATAAAAAAAGAAAGAGAATAATGTGAGGTCATCGATATTTGAGGTTTGGACAATATTCAGAAAATGCAGTAAAGAAAAAAAATCACCTTATTGGAATTTTTGATAGATCTCTGACTTTGGAAAAAAATTTTTTTTGCAGATGTAAATTATAAATTTTGGATGGCATAATAGAAAAGGCATGTCTCATCATTTTAAGGAGGAAAAAAAACTAAAGTGAATAATGATATCTTAATGTTTGATGTGATAGATTTTTGATGATTGCAAAAAACAGATTAAATTACAATTTAATAAAATCATGAAGTATTTGTGTGTATATGTTTAATCTTGAAATATCAATCTGGGATCCAATAAATTTTAATTTTTTAATTTTTCTTTGAAAAAGAAAAATTGTATGTATCTATTTTATGTACGATGAAACATTTTAAAGTCTCATTTGGATATTTTTATATAGTGAACGTTTATCTCAAAAGATGACAAATTATAACTAAATCCCAGTTCTTTGTTCAATCTAATTCTTACTACAAATAGTTACTATTTACTGTTTACTTACTTTGAGAGTATTCTTCACCCATTTGGGGCGGATATTCCTCATCCCAATCGACAACATCGTCTTCGAGTAAGACAACGATGTGACACTCGCGGTCGCCGCGCCGTGCACTGTTTACCATAAGTGGTAGAATTAAATCCTCCAAAAATACTTCAAATTGACAGCGTGCACCCTCATTCGACAACTCGTGCAGCAATCCTCCTATGACAATAAATCCACAATATTTTAATTTCCAAAATTCCTACAGTAAATCAAGATCAAGAATAAATTATTTTTGTGTATAACAATTTTTGTGTATACAATAGACTAAAATATAAGTTTCATCATAATTGATAAAATAATAAGAATTAGTATATAAAAAACTACTTACTAAGATTCTGGCATTTTACAGTGCTAGCATCAAAAGGCACCAACAGATAGTCACAGGCCTCTCTTAGTTCTTGAACACTTACAGTCGGTGGGCATCGAATTATTCCTCCCTTATAATATTCTAAAATGGCGCGAAATACCATAGCAGAGATACCGTCGGCGACCTCATATTCACCGCGTTCATTGGGCTGGGCATATTCCACCCCCGAGCTAAACATGCGACCCAACATAGTGTTGGGATGCGCTGTAAACAAAGCTGGATCAACAATGAATCTGAAACAATAAGGAAAAAGTTAGAAAAAAAGGTACTAAAATTGATATAGATCTTCTAAAAAGGAACTTATATGTCTCAGAACTTAAATGTTGCATTTTATCAAAACTAATATAAATCATAATATTATATAAGTGATTTGTTTAGTTAGTTATTTATTAAAAACCCATTACTCATATATTCTTTACTCATTTGTATATTAAATCAGCTTGTATTGAGTTCATAAAGTTTGAAAGTTTTACTTTTATAATTTTTTTGGTAAATTACGTAGTGTGAACAGTGATAAAAACCTTTTTTTGATAATGCCAAATTAATTTACATGCTTGTAGTTATCTTAAAGTATTTTATTTTTATTTATATATATTACTACCCTTATGTGTGATACAATTTGGAAAATTTAATTAACAATGAAATATACCGTACATTACTATTTTGTAGTTATAACATTGCAACACTACAATTGCTGTATGATTTTAAAGTAATGCTTTAATTCATGTAATAATGTGTCATTGATCAATGCAACTTTTTCCTCAAACATTTTTTTGTATTATAAAAAAAATAGAAATATTTCAGATAGTTAAATTATACGAAGCACCCTGTATAATATTAATACAAATTTCATTAATTTATTATATTAATACATTTCTATTAATACCTGGTGTTGTCGACAATGAGAGTAATCCTTTCATCACTGGCTGGCTGATTGTTAATTCCAGTAGTAGAACTCATAGTCAACGCCCCTGATATCATGCTATCTCTGCTATTGTTTTGGCTTTGATTTTGATTTTGTTTGGCCACTCCGATGTTTGAACGAATCCTGAGAAAAAGATAAATTGCATTCCTTAATTAAAAAAAATATACAACATCGTGTATTTTTGTTTGTAGGGAACTAAGGTATTCTTAGTAACATACTTAGTAATACATACAGTAATGTAAAACTAACGCAATTTGAAAGACCTACCTTGCAAATTGCGCACACACGCACAACACGAGGCCTGGTCGCCTGATTTCGAGATATTGCATTTATTGAAAGCAAAATATTAAAAAATTTTACCAAATAAAAAATACATGATTAATTAAAATAAATATTTATAGTAAATTATTCAATTAAAATAAAGTATAAAATAAAAATAAAAATTATTCCTTACTTAAAACAAGTAATTAAAATATAAAGTAATTTGCATTATCAAAAGTATATATGTAGACAATGGTAAATAATTTATGTAATAATATGAAAATATCAAAGACAAAATATACATTCCATAAAGCTTTTCACTACGTTAAAAAAATTAAGATGATCTTTAGAACTTTATTGTCTCAATCTAAGAAAAAATTCAAATGACCAATACGCAGCCTCTTTAAAATATTTTAACGTTTACTTAAATATTTTTTCATTAAATCAATATTCAATAAGTTTTAAATGATAAATTCTAGTATTTCTCACTGTAGAATAATATATATAAATATTATTATATAAAAACCTATTTAATAATATAATTTTTGAAGAAGTAAATGTCTTTATATATTAATTTGAATTTTATTGTGTGTATCAAAAATTTCTTAGAAAAATATTAATCTCAGTTAGTAATCGGTTGTATTTAAAATATTTTACAACATAAATTATGATTTTAGCAATATATAAAATATTAAATTAAACTGCAATTATATATTATTAAAAAAAGAAAAGTATACAGTTTTTCATTAACTCTTCTAAAAGTCATTCAGAAAAAATGAAAATATTACTTATTAGAAGTAATATTGAGCAAATAAACTTTCAAAATGATAGTAATTGAAATATCAATAAAATATATATAATAACCAATAAAACTTATAATCGATATCATTACAAACTTATTAGCTTTTTCATTATTTCCAATTCTATTCAATAAAATTCGTATTGTTAAAAATTAGAAAGAAATAAATATATAAAAACTTTTTTTAAATTTTTCCGCGCATTTACCTGTTATTTTGATTTGTGAGACTCATGTCGTGTGAATTTCTGCCAGAATTGAAAGAATGACAATGCCGATCGCCGCTGCTGTCCCTCTGTACCAGACAAGATTTCGGCTTCGACGAGCCACCACAACTATACATGCACAGAACAACCACGTAATCTTATACTAATCGCTTACTACACAAGCAGCTGTGATATGTCTACTTTATGCGAATTTGTTGCTCCTAGAACATTCTATTCCATATACATCTCACGAAATACATTACAGTATCATTAAAGTTAAATTCCCATGGTAAAACAAAATAGACTTTAAATTGTAAAATCTATTTTTGCATGTCGATAACATGGGATAACATTAAATTGTGAAATTCTAGTTCAATATCCATTTAGAAAGATCCAAATTCTTGCGTAATTAGCGCATAAAAATAATCCTTATAACGCGGTAATAAACATGTTTTGTTTGACGTCCATTTTGCGTGCCTATCTGAAATAATGCCTATGGAAAACTAAATTTTATAAAACATATTACGTTCAGTCAAAAATACGACTACAAGTGTGATCAGAATGCCTGCTTCAAAGAGATTATACTAATTATAGGATTTTAAAAAAAGCATAAAAAATTTTAGACAGAATGACAAGACAATAATTGATAATATTATATAATTTCTTTGAAGCGTAAAAAAAACAATAATATATTCATAATAATACATACAATAATATTCATATAAAAAGTATTGATATATAAATATATATATTAAAAATATAATTTGTATGCAATTTTTCAGCTAAGAATTGTGCACAAGTTTAATTAACTTCTAATTTCAATTAGCAAAATGCATTTAGATTTATGTGAAGAATAATTCGCATGCATGTAACAAAAATTGGTAAGGATTAATCTAAGATGCGCTATATACATGCTGAGAGATCTAAGATATCATAAGAACTAAAATAAAAATTAACTCTCTTTGTTCAAATAGAACAGTGGAGTTTAATCTGCAATTTATCTGCCAAAATTAATTAATTTCTTTATTGTAAATAATAATGTTCTTTTCTTTGTGATAAAAAAATAATTTCAATGCAGGCATTACTGAATCTACATTAAGAATTACCCCATAGGCTTTTCATGTCACTGACTCTACATCTGTGTAAAAATCTTCGGTTTGGATGCAGTTTACCTTAGTCTATTTTTGTATATGCGATGTCTTCCTCTTCCATCAGTCTCCTTGTAATCAGTCTCTGTATCGCTGCTGCTGTCTTGCACATAATTAATGCACTCTGGTAGATTTGACATGTCAGACCACCTGACAAAAACAGAAAGTATATACACATAGATAAATCTTTGTAATTTGCTATTCATAATTTGTAATATAAAATTGCGCCATAGAAAATAAACTACCAAGTTAAAGTCACGAATATGAATTGGAATCATCAAATAATATATCTATATTTTGAGGTATAAAGTAAAAATTTTGTCAAAATAGCAGTCTTTATAAAACAATGGAATAAATTCTAGAAGATAATGTATTAGATATAATATCAGTAAATAAATTCGAGTCATTATTCAATCTTCATTTTGTACTAAAAATTCAACTTAAAATATAGGACTCATATGCAGGATTTTTATTAACACGTTCACTACTAAACATCACATATATGTGACACATCGATTCTCATAAGGGTCCAACATCAATACATGTATGACAGCAGTGATTTTTCATTATATGATCTAATAACCAATCTGTTTCGAAAAAATATTTTGCAATAGACCAGTGACACACATTATATATACTCAGTGTGTCTATTTAGTACACTATCTATACATATTTCAATTAATATCCTAACCTCAATTGTTTAACAGTGTATTATTCCTCTTATGGTATTAGGTAACGATTTTAACTATTATTTGTAAATTGTATTCAATAATATGTAATATTAAATTCTGCCGAAATCAATGAAAAAATTTAAATTCTGCCTATTTGCCTATAAAGTGTAAAATAAAGTTTAAAATAGACACATCAAACGAGTCTCTCAATTGTCATTGCTTTCAATTTTCCCAGTTTGTTTTTCGAAATTAACCTTGCTATTTGCGTTAACAGAATTTTGTACAATACTAATTAATGATCATACTTACGAGTGCGAGATTGACAAGAACCAGCCGAGCTGTTTTAAGATTTTCCTCAATTTGCAAGTCTCCAGATCGTACAAATCAGGACGATTATAGATTAACTTACTAACAATTCCATGAATCGAATACAGTCACTTTCTCATACACACTATAAAGATTAGTTCTCGTCTATGAGCCTTGTCACCACTGAACTATATATGTATACTAGAATGGGCACTGTCATGCTACGTACGTTGGCGGACAGCGAGCTTGAGATAGATAGATTTGTGGGGCTTGGTGTCTCGCTCATACGCATGCGCACATCATTGATAGTGCAACAAGCCAAAAAATTTATATGTTCGATTCGTAGGTATTGTACACTACTACCTTCTACTCCGCCAAACAACAGTCAAAAGCTTTGAAGTTGACTGTACGTAGAAGGATACCTAACCCCACATTATAGTTCTCTCTCGGCTTGTGACAAGCGATTCAATGCCCATTCCAGTATATATATATATATGTATAAATAGTTCAGTACTTATCACTCAGTGAGGGCGCTGCAACACTGATACTGGTATCACCAAAGAGAGACCTGAGAGGGGCCACGCTGCCTTTTTTCGTAAGACGCTTTTTCTAGGCTGTACACTAACGGCGCGTACATCCATTTTACAGCCTGCCTGGAACTACATGGAAATACGTCTTGCATATAGATATAATTTATATATAGATACAATTTATAACATATAGATATAATTTATATCTATATGCGAGACGTATTTCTGTTCAATAAATTGTGGATGTAACACGGACATGAACCAACCAGGACTCTTTTACTATCCCGGTAAATGGATGTGACCATGTAGTTCCAGGCAGACTGTAAAATGGATGTACGCGTCGCTAGTGTACGGCCTAGAAAAAGCGTCTTACGAAAAACAATGGCATGGCCCCTCTCAGGCTTCTCTCTGCTGATACTAAAGAGAACAATAGGAGTTTTTAAACCCTGCCGATAACTACATTGGTTCTTATGCCCTATCTACACCGAAGGATGATCCTGCTTGTGGCTCATCCGAGCGAGTAATGTAGACGCATTGAAACACATTGAAACACATTGAAAATCACACTGAAGGCGAAATGATCGGAATTAGTCTGAACATTTCAGCCGATTTCCGTGGTATACGCCTCCTTTCCTCTCCTTACCGCGCGCGCCGCAGCCGCTAGGGCCAGCGCCGCCGAGCGTTAGGAGCGACACTATCTGATTATGAGTGGGTTCTTCTCCCTATTTATTAAAATTAAAAAAAATGTATTAAAATTTATTAAAAATAAATTTTTTATTTTTAAATTTATTAAGTGGAAATATTTCAATAGATTTCCACGTCACCCATGAGATACTAATGCTGACGTCGTTTTTTTAAGTGGTTTCCCCGTAGACCTATTCCACTAAAGATAAAATAAATTCTTAATTTAAAAAAAATATATATAAAAGAGATTTTCTTAATTAGATTTTCTTGGCCTTTTATGAGAATGAACAATTGATGCAATAATGTAGATAAAAACCACTTTTTGAAAAACGTGTCAGTATTAGTACCTCATGGGTGACATAGAAATCTATTGAAATATTTCCACTTAATAAATTTAAAAATAAAAAATTTATTTTTAATAAATTTTAATACATTTTTTAAATTTTAATAAATAGGGAGAAGAACCCACTCATAATCAGATAGTGTCGCTCCTAACGCTCGGCGGCGCTGGCCCTAGCGGCTGCGGCGCGCGCGGTAAGGAGAGGAAAGGAGGCGTATACCACGGAAATCGGCTGAAATGTTCAGACTAATTCCGAGCACTGGTCTACATTACTCGCTCGGATGAGCCACAAGCAAGATCATCCTTCGGTGTAGATAGGGCATTATAGAGCTCTACGTATCCTACCGAAGGTTAGACTTATGCAAATAGCTGCCATCTAAGTTTATCTCTTGAAACTTAGTAACAACAATTCAGCAACTTGTATTAAACGTTTGTCGATAAAATAAAAAGTATTGAAACAAAATTATCTTTAGAAAAAATATACTTTTATCAAGATGTAAACTTGCGTCAGACATATACTATAATAGTATCTATAAAACAAAATGTTAATTATGACTGACATCTATGCAAATAATACATAATTTCATATTTAGCATATAAATGAAATTTTATGTTTTTATGTTTGACATTTTGTTCAATAAATTTTTGAAATCTTTGTTATAAATATGTAAGCCAAAAGTATATATTTTATTTTTAAGACATTTCTGAAAATCTTTTTAAAAAGACATCACTTTTTGTATTGATGTTATTGACTTCTATATTTTTATGTGTAATTTTGTAATTTTTAATTTCGATTATATTTCTACCGCATGTAAAAGAATTATGCATGTAAGTATACGAACAGTCATAAATAACGGAAATTGGATAGGACATCGATTCGGTCCTAATTCTCAGGTCAACGAACATATGTCAATTTTTCGCTCTTTAAGGGTTCTGGTTCCCTTAATGAAAGAAGAACCGCACCCACGACAAACATTCTTATAATTGCTCACATCGTCCCGGCCGAGACATAGCTATATGCACAATGCGCGTACACACCTTCTCATTGTTGTAAGTACAAAGTCTGCGGTGTGTTTAAGAACAGGTGTCGCTCCAAAAATAGTCTTTTTTTTTAATTACAGATACAATAAAATCAATCGTGCAGAAATCTTTGTATTGACATTCTTAGAAATCCATTGCTTTACACGAACTTAATTTGAAATCTATCGATATAATTAATCGATTTATATACTTATAAACATATCTGAGTATAATGCATTAACATAATATAAATTTACACAGTGCAAATTCACGTTTCCGAGAAATTATTCTTTCCCCGATGCGCGTATCTGTGCCACGTAAAGCGATTTTTTGTAATTAAGACGATCAGGACGTGAGAACTATTAAGAGTGCGCTCCATACAAGTGTAGCGAATGCCCCGAAGCGTTTATTGTGCAATCTTTAACAGTTGCGTTTAGTATTATAGAGCGACAGAGTAAATAATAAATAGAGCCTGCCGAAGGAAGCTTAGGAAGCGTGCAAAAAGGAATATATTGGAAAAGTACAAGCCGCGGAGGAATACATAAGACGGACTGCACCCTGAATGAGATCACGGTCACGAATGCGATTATTTATAAAATGTTCGCCGTCGGTGGCCATCATCATTGCGGAACAAATTGATTCATCTACAATTAAGACAAATATTATTCGATCGATCACGCGCGGATTGACTTTTCCACCTGACATGCTCTCCATAACTCATCGACGTAAAAGCAAATTGGAATAACGAGTTAATTACACAAATGGATCAAAACGACTTTCCTGCCGTCGTGTGTATCTCTTAATTTCGAAGTTCTTTTGCGACACGTGATTTTTGCCACACACGATGATTTACGTGAACAGACGTGTTTTTTTTTTAAAGTCTTATTTGAATTAGAAAAGCATTTTATTCAGGCAGAGTTAATGACGCATGAGTATAAAGAAGAAGAGAACGTTAAATGCGTCGATTCGAAATTCGGCGTTAATGAGAAATCACAAGTTTCCTGAAACTTTCTTATCTTTCCTCTCTTGATTTGAGCAAATGATTCTTTTATTTAAAAAATAATTTAATGTAAAATAATACAATGTGTAATTTGAGATTGCTCGCAGCTTGATATTGGATTAAAAAAAGACAAAGAAATAAAAAAAGGAAGTTTTCATCATGTTTTGTATACATTCTGTTTTGAGCTTTGCTTGAAACATAAATATACTTGATAAACATTGAAAACGATCGCAAGACTGAAGAGTCTTCAAAAATTAATTCTTACAAATGTCGATAACATAATATCACGACACATTTTTACAGATTTAATGCATATTCGAGTCACATAAAACGAAGGAAAGTCAAAAGGGACTTTTATAATTTCCAAATTAATTGAAAATATCCTCTTATTTTTAGCACATTATTTCCAAATTCCTGTTATGTTTTGCTTACGTTTCTGATAATAGAGTTAATAAGCATATTTGATTAATGTGTTATCAAAAAATACGTGCACGACGCGTGGAACGACGAGCTGTCGACCCCCGTGACGATCGTGCAATCGACGGGAAAAGTGGGGAAGGATTTTCGGATCGCGCCTATTCGCGCGTCCGCGCATGACATACCTAATATTTAAAACGCTGCGACGACGACTTCGGTCGATGTGTTGATCCATCGTCATCGACGAACGACGTGCAGCGACCAAGGGAGGCGGTACGACGTTACTACACCATCTACGATCGGCAGTCGCAGAATAGGCTTCTTCGCCGCGCGATATAAGAAGTTGCGCTTGTTGTAGCCTTGGGCTTTGTCCTGGAAATTTTTCAGGTCGCTGCACCATGGTCAGCCGCGTCTCCACCATCTCCCTTTCAGTAGGTCAGTCTGCAATTTATATATTTTTGCCAGTGCATTTTCCACAAAATTGAAGAAGAGATTCGTAGTGCAATTTATATTGTTTAAATTAAATATTTGAAATCGATCTAAAATTCCGGAAAAACAAGCTTAAATTTCACTCAATATTAACATCGAGATTTTTAATTGATCTTGAGAATTAAAATTAAATTTGGGAAGCATTTGTAGCAGGAGTCTGTGAGATTTCATCTCGATGCTAGGGGGTTGAATCCATCTTAAATTTATTTCCTCGTTTGGCACGGATTCACGCTTCTATGTGTGTGTGAGGTTATATCGCCAACTGATTTAAATTTGGTTCTTCATAACTGCCCCGATAATATCATTTGCATTTCGCATCTTATCGTTTCTACTTGGTGCCAAGTTTTCGGTTTGCCTTTCTACGCGAATAGAAAAGCGAAGATTAAGAGGTCTTACGTGTAATAAGAAAAAGATTAAGAAATCTTATTTCTGCATTTTTTAACAAAGAACATTTTCGTAACTTTTCTCATCATCATCATCAACGATGTAACATTTTTAATTTCATAGAAATACTCATTTTCGCGAACAATTAGCGAGATAATTAGTAGTGAATAATCAATTCTTTCAATTCTGTTTCTATTTAAACAATGGTTAAAAAATTTTCATTTAAGAGTGCTTTCAAAAATATTTTCTTTCTATTTAGGTACACATTTTCCTTTTCTTTGTGTTATAAGCCGCTCAAATAAAATATCACCGGACAAGATGTAATGTAACAGCTGCGCCATCGATTCCTCCGAAATGGCAAAGCGCAATTACGCCTTTAATTATCCTTTAATTCGCCACTTTACGTGTAATCGGTTGATTAAAGCCGCGCCGGCGAGGTTCTTTGTTAACCGCGCGTGCTTTTCACCATTTAGTCTCACGTCGCTTTTATGTTTGCATTTTTCGTTTCATAGTACGATAATACTTAAGTGTAGTTTGCGCCAATTCATGCTGCATATT